GCTTCTTCAGGGGGTGAAGTGATGCGAAAAGGAGGGAGGTGACCATAAGTTTTTCAGAAGAACTTGTATACTGGGGATATACTGACCACTACATTGGACATAAAAACATTGAATTTGTGATGGGCACACATCCTAAAGGATCACCTACAGTTCTCTCACCTGCCACATTAAGACTTGAGACCTGGAGAAGAAAAATGGTTTCTTCAAGATCATCAAAAAGGTCTTTGGCGAAGTTAAGATTAGAGCCAGGGTTTCCTGTCTCTCACTTCAGTGGCTTCTCATTGGCCCCAAATGCTGGCTTCTCGTGGCCTAATTTTTTTTATTTTTATTTTTTAAGAATGATGGGAAGTGCACAAAGGAAGGAAGAAAGGGAGGATGCAAAAAGGGGAGAAAAGAAGAAAGAATGGAAAGAAAGAAGGAAGGAAGGATGGAAACAAGGGAGGGAGGGAAGGAAAGGTTTGCTCTATTTTTTAAGATGTATTATATCAAAGGTACTCTGATCATGAAGAGAATACATAAAAGACTCCTTTTCCCTCTCTTCCCTAGAATGCAGTTTAGATACTATAGTCTCCTGCTGGGGTGCTGAAATTACCGCTTCAAGTCATCATTAATTGTCTTTCTATCTAATACATTTTCACTCCCAGGCATGTGTCGAGCCTCATTGATCATAAAAGCAAAATGTATCCATTCGCCAAAAATTATTTTTATAAAGAGTAATTATTAACATGAGGCACACAGCTTTCGAATCACAAAATATAATGGTCACCTTCAGCTAGTAATTGTCCAGGGGTTTTATATAAGATGAATATATCAATTTACCCAAACACATATTTAAAACGCTGGGAAAGTGTAATTTTATGTATAATATCCCCTTGTCTTAGGGAATTTTAGACTTTTAGAATATTATATCTAATACATATTAAGTGTGCCTAAATTGGCTTTCTTTTCTCCTTTAATATTAATAAGATTATATGGGAAAAAATACCCCACTCACCAAATGCTTTGAGCATCTATATTTTCCAACATACACATGCATATATAATTCACCTATTACTTATTAGTTCATTTATTTATTCAACAATTATTTATTGAGCTTCTTCTAGGCACCAGGCATGGCTCTAGCCACTGCGGGTACAACACTGAATGAAAAGTCACAAATATGGAACCCTTACAATAACCTTATATTTATTGTTGTCTCCATGTTATGTAGTGAGATCGGAGACTTAAAGCAGCAATTTTCCAGTCAGTCTCATAGCTGACAAATGAGGGCCTGTGTTACAAAAAGATTTTTGTGTCCCCAAAGTTCACGATTTTACTACCACAGCCACCTGCTGCCAATGAGAGCGATCCAGAGTATGCATTTTAGGTCCTTTGACCTCAGATGTTATGAACAAAGGAGAGACATCATCAAAAAGATAGCAGATTTACATTCTTTTTTTTTTTTTTTTTTGAGTTGGAGTCTCACTCTGGTGCCCAGACTGGAGTGCAGTGGCCGCTCCCAGCCACCGCAGCCTCGCCCTGCCAGGCTCCGGCGATCCTTCCGCCTCAGCCTTCCAAGCAGCTGGAACTACAGGCGCGCGCTACCACACCCGGCTAACTTTTTGATTTATTGTAGAGATGAGGTCTCACCAAGTTGCCCAGGCGGGTCTTGAACCTGCAGGCTCAGGCAATCCACTCATCTCATCCTCCTAAAGCGTGGGACTACAGCCTGAGCCACCAAGCCCGGCTCAGATTTACATTCTTAAGGTTAAAGAAAGAAGATACTTGTCAGGAGTAGCCTGGGTTTTGCTTGACTTTAGAATGCTCTTATCAACTCTTCTTTCAACTCTGTAAGCTGGGAGCAATTCCATTTCCTGTTGTCATCATCCTTCCAAACGAGCAACAGGAACTCTATGGGAGGAGAGGGTAGGCCTTTTGTTGAAAATCTGTGCACAGAAGGGACAAAATATTTACAAAAGCAGAAAAGGTAGACAAATAGAAACATAGTCTTCATCAAAAGTCAGATATAACTTAGTGGACGACAAAAGGGTCTTTGAAATGAGCCTCAACATAGGACCGTCCTATGGTAGTCTGTCAGAAGCAGCCTAGATGTTTTAAGAAAATGTAACAAGGCTGGGCACGATGGCTCAAGCCTGTAATCCCAGCACTTTGGGAGCCCGAGGCGAGAGGACTGCCTGAGCTCAGGGTGGAGACCAGCCTGGGCAACTTGATGAGACCTCGTCTCTACAATATATCAAAAAAATCAGCCAGGCATGGCAACATGCGCCTGTAGTTCCAGCTACTGGGAAGGCTGAGGCAGAAGGATTGCCTGAGCCCAGCAGGTTGTGGCTGCGGTGGCTGTGAGTGTGCCACTGCACTCCAGCCTGGGTGGCAGAGACTCCAACTCAAAAAAAAAAACAACAAATTCATTTCCAACCTTTACAAGTCAGAATGTTTCTAATAAAATCTGTATTTCCAGCTTCTCCTGAGAAAGGGGAAGACCAGGCGATGCCTCAGGTGATGCCCCCTGCCCTGGGGCCTCCCTCCCGTCCCTCAGTGCCCACAGCCAGTCCTTCCTGTTGCCTTCCTGGACCTTCCAGGCTCTGGGGCTCATGACCCTGACTGACAATAGTCCAAAGGATGGTCTTAAGAATGACCGTGTGTACATTCAACCTCTTCCTGACAGAATCTCCTCTCTGGAACAAGCGGCTTAAGCAGTCCCCTTGCAAGTAAATCGACTTAGTCCAGCTGAACTGAAGCTAACTACAAGGGGATTTACTGGATTAACAGACAACAGATTTTACTTACTGCGCTCCGCTTTGTCTTTTTTGAACTGATAGTAAATTTCTGTGATACAATTTAACAGGACTTGCAGTTTTTCCACACTGTTTAAGAAAAAAAACAAGAACAAAAATAAATAAATGAATCGAGTCAATGTGTAAAAGGACATTTACCATCAAGAGCAGCCCCCACCCGCCAAGCCGCCACCTACTATCCGGTCCCTGGGGTGAGTGCCTTCCTGTTGCGCCCACGTGTCGGCCA